AACATTGACTATATTTGTGGTATACATTTAGATCAACAAAAGACATATATAAGACGATATATCTATTACTTTATCGTTAAGAATATGATATATATATATATATATATATATATATAACACTTCTATATTAAGGAGTCTGTAAAATATGCAACGGTTTTTGGTAAGACTTTGTGCGATTTGAACTTGAATTTTATTCTAATCCTACATTTGGTTTAAAGTACAGCCTCAAATTGAAATCTCGAGATTTCAATAAACATTGAATTTAGAAATTTCATGAGGATGGTTGGTATTTCATGGGATCTCACAGGTCTTGTTTGTAATAATATTTTAAAATATGTAGAAACATTTGTTTTATTGTAATGATCAATTAATAAAAGACAATTTAATTATTTTTATATTTATTCATAATTTATTTTTATAAATTACGTATAAATATTGAAATTGAAATTCATTACAAATCCTACAAGCCAAACATATCAGATAGCCAAAATCCTACCAATTCCAAATCTTTTCACAAAATCAATATCCATCAAAAACATTTCATCAAATCTTATACCTATATATGTCCGAGCGGCCTCCCGTGCGTCCGTTCAACTTATTTTCGCAAGTAAGATTTTTTTTAGGTATAAAAGTTGTTCCCGCTAGACTTTAAGGGGTGCTCTAGGGATATTAAAAATTATAAGAAATATCAACCAAAAAACCAAAAAGAGTATATTGAAATCAACAAGAAAAAACTTAAAAATCTCTGGAAATCATCCAAAAAAAACTTAAAAATCTCTGGAAATCATCCAAAAAACTTAAAATCCCTCAAAACCAACCAATAAAATTTAAAAATCCCTCGAAATAATGTAATTCGGTTAAAAACACATCGGAAGACCTTGCAGACATTTAATCTACCTTAAAGATGTTTTCACTCGGAAAAATCTTGGGTCCACCACTACTCTAAGCAATCGGATCTGAATCTATTGTCATTTATATTGAAATTGGATAAAGGTCTCCCATGTCATAAAAATTAGAATAAACTACAATTTTTGTTCTATGGTTTGTGAAAGATTGCAATTTCCATCCTTGTGGTCTTTAAGTTGCGATTTTAGTCCCTACGGTTTGTAATTTATTGTTGTTTTGATCCTTGAGATTAAATCTATTATAAATTCTCTATTTAATTTAAGGGTATTTTAGTTTTTTTTATTTATGTTTGGTTTATTAAATATTTTTTTGATTTCTTTCTTTTTGGTGTTTTATTCTTTTTGATTTAATAAAACTTATATTACTTTGGTATTGTTTATAATAAATTATTAAATATTTTCATGCAATTCGTTTTTATTTTTTATTTTTAGTCATTTTAGTTTTAATTTTTTATGAGTTCGATTTTTGCCACTACCGTCGTTTAAATTACATTTTCTATATGACGTACATTTTTTAAATTGCATATAAAAAATTTAATTAGACACTTTTTTAAATGTTTTAAAAGACGGCTAAACATTCTGTAAATTTATTTTAACACAGTTATACTAGACATGTCGTTTGGTATAATTGAATGACTTATGTGATCAAATAATTGTACATTCTATTGTCTTTCAATTTTTTTTACCGTCTTGTTTGTAATATTTAATATATTATATTATTAGAGATTTGCTTCAATTATAATTTAAAATATTATAATTGATTGATTTTTCAAAATACTCTTTTTGGTCCTTTTACATTTTTATCAGTTAGTTTTGACAAACATGATTTGTTCACCAACTAGCTTATCAGTTAATAATTAGTTTATCAACCACCAGATAGCTAATAAGTTAGTTTGTCAAACATAATCTTAACATATTTAGTCTAAGGGACGAAAACAACAACATATTTCAAACTATAAAAATGAAAATTATTATTTCAAAAGTACAATAACGAAAATCTTAAAAGTTTCTCAAACCATAAGGAACTGGAAATTAACGTAGACCTCAGGGTATGGGAAAAAAAAAAAAAAAAAAAAAAACTTGACCATAAATCCCTTGACTTAAGGGTAAAAATAGTAAATACCCAACTTCATTATATAAATTGATATGATGGACCATGACTGCCCTGCATTCCTTCCTCAACATTATACACATACACACAAACACACACACACACACATCCTTCATCACTTCGATCATGTGGAAACTCAAAATCGGTGAAGGAAACGATGAGAATTTATTTAGCACCAACAACTTTGTCGGCAGACAGATATGGGAGTTCGATCCAACGGCCGGAACTGAAGAAGAACGATCACGAGTCGAAGACGCTAGAGAACAGTTCCTCGTTAATAAGAAGAAGCTCGGCATCCATTGTTGCAGCGATTTGCTCATGCGTATGCAGGTTCGTCCTTATAATCATCACTCATATATATATATATATATATATATATATATATCTCTGTGTGTGTGAGAGAGAGAGATTGTTCATTTCTGTTTGTTTAATGGATGAAGATTTTGTATACAAAATATGTGATTACAGAAAGGATTTGAGTTTGAATTTGAATGTGAAAAATTGACAGCTTATTAAGGAAAGTGGAATCGATCTTAGCGAGCCAGCGGTGAGACTTGGAGAAGACGAAGAGGTGAACTATGAGGCGGTGACGACAGCAGTTCGAAAAGCGGTCCGATTGAACCGGGCGATTCAAGCTTGGGATGGTCATTGGCCGGCTGAAAACGCTGGCCCTCTCTTCTTCACCCCTCCCCTTGTATGTGCCTGTACCAGTACCAGTACCACTACAATAACACACCTTACATCCATCCATTCATAAATACTATTATCTGGAAAAAAGACAACTTACAACCAAAAAGTTTTTAGTATGGATCTGATTGACTCACAAACATTTTCTGTGGTTCAATCTTTTTGAATTTTACAAATATTTAGGGGTGGTTTTACGAAACATATGCCCGTAATTGCTTTGTGCTTACTGGCTAGAGTCGCAATCCTCAATTATTTTATCGTCTAACATTCTTGGTTAACAAAATGTATTTTTGATAAACGTCTTTCACCCCCGGTATGCACGAGGTCGTTTATCAAACTCTTACTGGGTAAATGTTGAGCACCTAGAATCCTATCCACTAACGGGCATGGCAAAGACTGTCATCCACTAAACACTTATCGGTAAAAGACGTCTACCAACAATCCATTTTGAGGGTTTAGAATATTACCCAATAAGGTAAATGTGAATTGTGACTATTGCTGGTAAGCGCTTACTCGGTAAGTGTTTGGTAAAGGGCCCTAAAAGTCTTATCTCTCACTAATCGGGTAAGATTCTTAGATTTTGCAATGCAATGTACCTTATTAAGTAAAATTCTTAATCTTTTCCATGTTCATCCCGTAAGGTGAGTCCATGACACCAATAAACACTTATCTAAGTAAACGACCCTTGTGTTAATATGATAATATTCTTGTACTAATTAATGAGATTATATAGAAATTTGATTAAATATTTAATTTTGTTTGTGTTTTGATTTTGCAGATATTTGGCCTTTATATAAGTGGCACAATGGACACGATCTTGACAAAACATCACAAGAAAGAGATGATACGTTACATGTACAACCATCAAGTATGCAAACATTCACAATTTTTTCTTTAAAATGAGGGATTTTTTGTTTTATTATTATATTTTTGTTTAAAGTTAATGATATTACGTGTTTAAGATTTAAATATATATTTTAAGAAATGAAATTTACATTATTTTTCTTGAAACATGATTAAAATTGGAACATGTCCAACCCAATTTTGAATTTTTAATTATTCGATTTTCTATATTCAGCTATTATTTGTATACTTATAAATGTTATTTCCTTGATATATTTTTCGACTTCTAATAAAATATAAGCATGTGCCAATTTAGAATAGACCACCATTACAACGTGTGTAAATTCTTTCAAAATTAAATATTTTTGTTTTTGAATCTTAATTATTCTGACCAAAGAATTTCTAAGATCTCCATTAATTTTTGTACGGTATGTATTTTGGGAAAATGACTACATTGAACACTTTTTATTGTGAGATAGTAGGGGGTCGTTTACAAAACGTTTAGTGGGTGAGCGTAATATCTATCACCCTTAATTCCCTAATCATGTAATGTTTTTTGTCCTTTATATAAGTGGCACAATGGACACGATCTTGACAAAACATCACAAGAAAGAGATGATACGTTACATGAAAGACAAAAAACATTACATGATTAGGGAATTAAGTTAATGAAACAAAATCTTCCTAATTTTGACGAATAAGTTTTTATCATAAAAAAATCCAAATTGAACCAACTTTGATTTTATTCAACATGAATTTGGTTATTTAATTTCTTAGATCAAAAGTTGTAAATCATAATTAACAAAATAAAGGTTATGGTTTATGCTTTCCTAAACAAAAAATTATTTAGATTTGACACATTTTACCCTTGAAAATCTCACCATATTAATTTGATATATGTTACATGTTTACTTTTTTATAAAAAGTAGGGTTTATTTTAATATTTATAATAAATATTATGGGTTAAAAAGACACTTATTCCCAAGGGTTAAATGCATGAAATAGCAACTTACTTTTATAAAATTTCTTATTATAGCATTCTACTTCTGTTTTTCTTTATTACAACAATGTACTTTCAAATTATTTTTTATTAAGGCATTGTACTTTAAAAAATCTACCCATAACAACAATAGGTAACCTGTTACCTTTTAAACCGGTTAACCCTTTGACTTTTTTGCTTGTGTGGCTTTAATGAGATGATGTGGATGCCACATCATTTTGATGACTTAATTAAAATTAAAATAAAATTTTATTTCAAATTATTATTAGTGATTTTCATTTTTCATTGCTATGATCTAAAAAACTATTTAATTTTTTTTACTTTTTCTTATTAAGTTGCATTCAAATTAAATATTCTTGGAGTAAAATATTTATTAAATAAATATGAAACACCATTTTCGAGATATATTTTGTTTGTAAAAAATGTAATTTTTCCTATTTTATTTTGTTCAAATAAATACATATATTTTAAAGTTCTCTTTAAAATATTAACGAAATAAATTGTTATCTACATTTTTTTAATATTGTTATATTAATAAATAATTCAAAAAAAGTCTAATTAATTTAATATATTTATACGTCAAGTAAAAAAGTTTTTGAACAAATATAATATATTATTTAAAAGATAATATTTTTTGGTAAAAAAATGAACAATTCTTATTTTTTTTTCAAAAAACACATATTTTAAAAATGTTAGCGAGATAAGTTGTGTTCTACTAGTTTTATTGATATTGGTATATTAATGAATAATTTAGAAATTTTTTAATTCATTTAATACATTTATTAAATAACATGTAAAATATATAAATATTAAAATTAAAAATACAATGTTTAATAAGAACTAGTAGATGCTATAATAAAATAATTTTGAAAGTACAATGATGTAGTAAGAAAGTCACATCACTATAGTACATGTGGACAGCCTACGTGGACAATGAGGTGGCATGGAAACCTAGTATGATGGGTAAATTTAAAACAAAAGGTTACGTAATGCTATAATGGGTAAATTTTTCAAAGTACAATGTCCTAATAAAAAATAGTTTGAAAGTACATTGCTGTAATAAGAAAAACTGAAAGTACAATGCTATAATAAAGAAATTTATGAAAGTAGATTGCTATTTTGTGCATTTTGCCCTAAAAACAAAGATATTCTTTTTTTCTTTAAATAGTTTGAAAAATCTTGTTAAATTAACCATAATTCTTGTAAATATGTAAAAAAGGTATCACCGACGGAATTTTATGACAAAAAAACCAGATTTTTTAGTAGTGAGATATTATGTAGTTGGTAGGTTTGAATGAGTAATTATAACTATAGAAAAACCATCATACTAAATTCTTTTATATGTTTTTGTAAAATACAATGTTTTATTTTTGAAAGAAAATGATGATTTAATAAATGTTTTTAATTTTCTCAATTTTAAAAAATTTACATATGTGTATGATTGGGTTGGTGTAGAATGAAGATGGAGGATGGGGATTCTATATATCAGGGAAGAGCACAATGATGGGTAGTGCTTTAAACTATATCGCCTTAAGAATTCTTGGAGAAGGTCTTCCTACCGACGATGATGATTATAGTGCTATTGCTCGAGGCCGTAAATGGGTGCTCGACCACGGTGGTGCTACCTCCATTCCTTCCTGGGGCAAAGTTTTTATTGCGGTGCGTGTTTGTGTGATTTCGTTTAAACAAGAAATACATATCATCTTGAAACCCTTTTGATGAGTAAATATTAATGATTATATCTTTAACAATAAAATACGTTAAAACATGCACTTCTAATGTATTTTTGAATTTTAACAAGTTTGCAATAAAACTACAACAGGCTCTCGGAGTGTATGAATGGGAAGGTTGCAACCCTCTTCCTCCCGAATTCTGGCTTTTTCCTAATTTCTTGCCTTATCATCCAGGTAAGTTAAAACAACCTATTATTTATATATAATATGTAACAAGTGAAATTAAAATGTCATTACATAATAAAATAAGTTAAAGATACATAAATCTCAAAATGGAATACTATTTTATAACTTTAAAATGTTAACACTAAATATATTTTAAATGATCATTGTACACTAGTTTTATCGTTTTATTCTTTATTACATCATATTTGGGCAAAAATTGGTTACTAATTCTAACCGGTTCGACACAGCTGAGGCTAGTGCCGGGGAAGGGGGGATCGAATATGAGACCTGTCTTGTATGTAGAAAAAGTCATCTCGCCATTTTGCCAACTCGCTACGTACATGCTAAAGGCTATGCATTACACCATGTTATTATCATTTGTAAACTATATATCTTTGGTGTTAAATTTGATGTCTTAATTGAAGATGGTTGGAGTAACTAAATTTGGTGGAATATGCAGCAAAAATGTGGTGTTACTGTCGTGAAACATATATGCCAATGTCACATTTATATGGTAAAGCCTTCCATGGCCCTATTACAGATCTCGTCTTATCTATAAGACGAGAAATCTATCCCATCCCCTATCACCAGATTGATTGGAACAAACAACGCCATAATTGTTGCAAGGTATAGTATATATAACCTCCATCTTTTTATATATATATATATATATATATATTATATATAACAATCATATACATATATTCAGGAGGATTTGTTCTACCCTCATTCCTTCATACAAGATCTTCTATGGGACGGTCTTCACTACTTTAGCGAACCGCTTATGAAAAAATGGCCGTTCTGTAAGCTCAGAGAGAAGGGTCTCAAGCGAGTCGTTGATCTAATGCGCTATGGAGCCGAGGAAAGCCGTTTCATATGTCTTGGTTGTGTTGACAAGGCAAGTTTATACTTAATATTAATATGTTAATCAATACCTTAAATTCTAGCCTTAGTTGGAAAAAGAACATGTGAAGCAATACCTTCAAGTAAAAGTTCTTACAGTTTTCAACTTTTTGTGGTTCTCATTTAATTATACCCCATTTTCATGTACATATATATATATATATATATATATATATGGTTTTAAGTTGACTTGAAGGTTATTAGGTCAGCTTACTGCTTTGGGCTATGAGGCGTTACTATTTATGAGATAGTTGCATGGACTGTTACTGAACAAATGCAACGAATCTTGTAGGCTTTGCAACTTATATCATTTTATGCGGAGGATCCAGATGGGGTTGAATTCAAACGACACATCGCAAGAGTTCCTGATTTCTTATGGCTGGCGGAGGATGGTATGAAGATGCAAAGTTTTGGTAGTCAGTTGTGGGATTGCACTCTTGCTACTCAAGCGATTATTGCAAGTAATATGGTCGAAGAATACGGAGATTCGCTCAAGAAAGCTCATTTCTACTTGAAAGAATCACAGGTTCTAATCAAATTTGCTCATTTTGCTATGATTTTCTTTTTCCAATTATTCATTAGATTTGATTTGTGAAATGGATTAATATTAGATTAAAGACAACCCAGAAGGAGATTATGCTGAAATTTGTCGCCAATTTACCAAAGGGGCTTGGACTTTCTCTGATCAAGATCATGGTTGGGTCGTCTCAGATTGCACAGCTGAAGCTTTGAAGGTAAGATCAAGGAACTATTCTCTATTCCACTACAACAAAATCGAGTTTATATGACTCCCAAAATGTTAATAGACTATTTTATAGGACTTTATGTGACCAAACAATTGTGTGTCCTATCTAAAAGCATTACAATAAGTTTATAGGATCTTTTTTATAACACTTATTTTTATAAGAAACTTTTTCAAATAGTGTCATGTTAAAAGACTGACAAACTGTAAAAGACCCTATAAACTTATTACAACGATTTTACTTGTTTCGTCCTATAAAACGTTTTATTGGAACACGTTGACATTTGGGCGTCCTATGAACCCGATTTAAATTGAAGTGTCTAGTTCAAATTCTGTTTAAAAGCTTCATCAACATAGAACTAGTTTTTAACTCTGAACTTTTCATGAAGTGTCTCTTGGCATTGTCTCAAATGCCGGAAGAAATCGCTGGAGAAAAGGCGGACAACGAGCGATTATACGATGCTGTTAACGTCCTCCTCTACTTACAAGTAAGTTATTACACTTATCATTACTTTCATTTCATTTCGTTAATCTTTGTATCGATTGTCATTAATCTTCTTGTTTTTGGATTCAATTTCTATGAACTCATTCAGAATCCCGACAGCGGTGGTTTTGCAATCTGGGAGGCACCTGTTCCGAAACCATATTTAGAGGTAAATTATTTGGCTTAATCTGTCTTAAATCCTAAATCCTAATTCTTAAATCTTAAATCTGTTGTTTTGTTGCAGAAATTGAATCCTTCAGAACTTTTTGCAGACATTGTGGTCGAGAGAGAGTATGCATTTTCTCTGTTTCAGTTGTTCTGGTTATTGTTACTATATATAGTAACCGATTAACTTCACGTTTTTTGTGGTTTTAGGCACGTTGAATGTACCGGTTCGATAATCCAGGCACTGACAATGTTCAAACGTCTGCATCCTGGGCATCGCGAGAAGGAAATAGAAGTTGCTGTCGAGAAAGGGATACGATATCTGGAAAAAAAGCAATGGGAGGACGGTTCTTGGTACGTATGTTAAGTATGCTAGAGTCGCACATCTGACGGGGTTCCACTTTTCTATAATTGTATCAGAGCTATTTGTGCATGTCTAGCCTCCACCGGAGGGGAGGTGTTAGAATCTTATACCAGCTAGACTTGGACCATTTTTCTTTAATATTTGTTGGAATCCTCCTTTTATCTTCTCACGTGCTCTTTTAAAAAGTAATATGATGGGGTTCGATGTATTCTCGCATGTATGGCTAGCCAAAATCTACCTCTGGAACATTTGTGTCGATCTAGACTCCATTGGATGGGACGTCTTTGAATCTTACATGAGTTAGACTTGGACCATTTCTCTTTGATATATATTGGAGCCTTTCTTCTCTTCTCGAGGGCTTTTTTAGAGAGTAAACTTATGGGTTCTACGTATTCTGACAAGTTATTAACAACAGGTATGGTTATTGGGGTATTTGCTTCATTTATGGCACATATTTTGTGCTGCAAGGATTGGTAGCATGTGGGAAGACATACGAAAACAGCGAAACTGTTCGTAAAGGTGTCAAGTTTTTTCTTTCGACACAAAACGCTGAAGGTGGATGGGGAGAGAGCTTTGAATCATGCCCAAAAGAGGTAAATAAGCATCATATTCTTATATATCTACCCATTCGTGCATTCTAGCAATACAATCTAACCATCTTTAATCTTTGTGGATCAAATCAAACAAGAAATTCATACCGTTAGAGGGAAACCGAACGAATTTTGTCCAAACAGCATGGGCAATGCTTGGTCTTTTATACGCTGGACAGGTTCAGAATCCTTTTCAATGATATTTGATTGATAAATTTTGAAAAATATTTCGCAGTACAAAAAGACTATATATATGTAAGGTAATTCTAACACAATCTGGTTTTGTTTGAAAGCTCGAAAGGGATCCAACACCTTTACATAAAGCAGCAAAATTGCTAATTAACGGGCAGTTGGATAACGGAGATTTTCCACAGCAGGTATGTTTCAAAACACCCTCAGTCTACTTGTTGCTTGCTAGCAGTGTCGGTCTTAAGATTTTTGATGCCCTGTACGAAAATAATAAAAAATTCCCCTAAGTCTATTTGTTTAAGCGGATGAAATAACGGAACATGCGATTTTTTAAAGAGTTCAAACCTATTCAATCTAAGTGTCTCATCTCCTTGTTGATTTTTATTAATTATAATAAAAAAAATACAGGGGGGTGACATAAAAATCCAAAATCCCCAATACAAAATATAGAATGATAAAAGAATAAATCCTTGATTAAGATCGTGCTTCATTCTTTTCCAGTTTTCCATTTTCCGAATTGAAATTAGAAAAAGAGAAACCTTATTTCAATATATGGGACTTAACAGACAAGGAAAACTATAATTAGTTTTTAATTAAAATAGTAAATTACATCCAAATTACTTAATAGTAAGCAAAAAATAAAACTTAAAAGTCACATGGCTAATGACTAAAGGCTAAGGGTCTATTTGTTAGCAGCTTAATAAGCTTAATGGAACTAACAACTTATTTGCTCAACTATGCATGATTGTTTCGTAGTGGCTTAATGATATAGAAAGTGACTTATCTAGTAAGTTTCTAGGGGGAGTTTTATATAGAAAGCCAAGTTTTTTTTTTCTAAACATGTCCCTTCCAACTAAAAAAAACACTCCTTACATTTGCGAAAAAACTTTTCCAAATAAAAATATTTCAACTTATACAAACAGATTAATTCATACAGACAACTTTATCCATATAGAACTTAATAAAAAAACCAATCAAACGCCCCCTAAATCTAATGAAGTAATGTCAAACCTTAAAGTAAATATAAGTCAAAAGAACAATAATAAATTGTAAAATTCATAATCTATGTTACTATGCATTGTAAAGAACAAGTGCCCAATAATTAAGACAATATCACAATATATTGTTAATGTTGTGCAGTGTGCTCCAGCTATGTTGATACAGTGATGTGCTCATGTTGCATTGAAAATTTCAATTCTCAGATCTTTCAATATGCAAGAGGAAGACTCATTATTAAAATGACAAAAGCCATTGGCCTTAGCCTAGTAGGTCGGTAACCCACACGACCACATGACCCAACTTTATAATAATCAGTTAGAAATTTAGATTTTTTTTGCAAAAAGATCTAAAGATTCATAATTCATAATATGACTCACACAACAACTCGGTAAGTTCAATCTATCGTAGAAATCAATCATTCAATATTTCCATCTTTGATTTCATAAATCTAATTTCATGATCGTTAATCGGTTGAAAAGAGAACTCCATGCCTTGAAAATTGAATTAGTCGAACTTTGAAGAACAATAGAAATTAGATTGAGTTGTTGGAATGATGGCATTAACCGGTTCACGATGTGCATTCAATATTCATCAGTACTAGGCCTTAAGCCTATTTTAATAGTTAGAACTCAGTTGTCCAATTTCCAAATTATTAAATCCAAAAGTAGTAATAAATGACAACTTGATGGCCTTTTAAGCTTTGATGCCCTGTGCGACCGCATGGGTAGGGCCGGCCCTGCTTGCTAGTCGTCGAAGCATGAAAGGTTTCTCCTCACTCTATGTGTTGGAGTCCCAAATCAGCTAAGCATAGAGCATCAAATCTCTCTCTCTCTCTCTCTCTCTCTATATATATATATATATATATATATATAGGGGTGGGTTCAAATAAAAACCACTCAATTTGTAAAAACCGTGAAAACCTTATTCAACCAATCATAATTTTTCATTTTATTCATTTTTTTGTAATTATGAGAGGTTGATTAACCATTTTTATTGTGGAGGGTGTTAATCATGGATATTATCATCTTCATTATTTTAATTTTAGAGAAATACATGAAACAGTTTCATTAAAATTTCATTAAGTAGTATATGAAACAATTTCATAACCACATATGAAACAACTTCATCAAAAAAAGTACTATATGAAACAATTTCACAAGATTAACAATTTCATGAAAAAATTTCATTAGATTAACGATGGATGAAAGTAGTTTTTACGGTTTTTACAAATTAGAGTGGTTTTCATTTGATCGCTCCTCTCTCTCTCTCTCTCTATATATATATATATATATATATATATATATATAAGGGAATCTCCCCTCTCACTATAAGGATGCGTTTGGTAAGTAGGATAAGACATAACAAAAACTTGTTATGTTATGTTTTGTGCAGCATTAGACTATGTTTGTCCCACCAAAATTAGTGAAACAAAAATCAAGTAGATGAGATAAGATTGATAAATTACTAAACTACCACTGTCAAATTAAAACCCTTTTAAGTCTTGACAACATTCTTTCACATGCCTACGCCACTCTCTCCTGTCCAAAATCTTGTGTTTTATATCATATGTACCTTTAAAGGCTTTTCTAAGGAGAGATATAAAAGAGTTTCATGTATTCGTACTATGGATGACTTAATACTGACACAAGACTGTATCTATAGGATATCACTGGAGCATACATGAAAAACTGCATGCTACATTATGCCGAGTATAGGAACATCTTTCCACTACGAGCACTGGGAGAATATCGTACACGTGCTTGGTTGTCCAAATGAGATCTCTAAATTCCATCGATAAGTAAGTTTGTCTTGTGATTTTGCTATGGCATGACATAAATTTTGATTGTTGCTGTCAATTTATGTCTGATATGACCAAATGTGTATTGGTTGCAGGTCGATCTGGTTCATGTTATTGTCATAAACTCTTATTTTTTCACAAATCTACAAGTGACAAAAATGAGACACCTTCAAAGAATGAACATTTATTAAATGGTATGATTTTGGAATAAGTAGTACACGAATAACAACGTGTATTTACCATGGAGATCTATGTTTTTGAACATGTCATGTTGTAGTGTGTGTTAGGCTCCGGTTCGACTCTAAATGGATTCATGTACTCGAAGAACCACAACTTATATATATATATATATATATATATATATATATATATACTCGCTTCATTTTCATGCAATATATAATCAGATATCTTTTTTAAAATGATCTATAAGTCCATTATGATAGTATTTGGTTATTGAAATGTTCCATATACAATACTTGATCGATCAATTGAAAAATTTATTTAGCATTGATTCCAAACAACCTTTGCGTCATTTAGATCTCTTAACCATTCGACACTTATTCATTTAGTTTTATGTTATCATATATAACTTCATTTCAATAAGATATTGCAATTTGCTCGATAAAAGATGAAATACCCCTCTTGGTCTGGCAAATTAAGGGTTCGTTTGCTTTTCAGGATTTGATGGGATTGGAGTTACATTATATTCCAATCCTACGTTTGCTTTAAGAAAATCAGAATTGAAAATTTTGGAATTCAATGAAATCTCATAAGCGTCTGAATTTGAAAATCCCTTAACGATAGTTGGTAATTTACTTCATAAATGAAAATTCACAGCTTTATAAATGTTTTGAATAGACAATTCGAATAACAAAAGATTATTATTTTAACCCTTCATACTATTAAGTGCCGAATGAAAGGTAACTATTACAAGTTTTTCAAAACGATGTTTAGAAATTTGGATGATCCTTTTCTTAGAGTAGAATCAGTTACTGCATTTAAAGAAATGCACGTCAAGTTTGTTCAGGTTTACCTTGGAAAGGCGCTAAACAGGCGTATAGGTTTGCCTCTCTATTTATAATAGAAGAAGTATAATATAATTAGTATAGAGGTATATATAATATTAACCAAATCGTCTTAAGCATGAACATCTCCGGTCTCCCTCCCACTCATGCAATTTGTGCCTTAAGATTCTAGATCAAGAAAGACATGTTGACTTGATTCATCTGTGACCCCCAGATTTTTGGTATCTATAATTTCAAATTTTATATGTATTTTAGTCTTAAAATAGTTTGGATGAGCGTTGTGATTATTGGTTCGGTTAGGTATCACTTTTGGCAAAAATAGAAAAAAAGTTGAAATTACATGGCTTGCGGTGGAAAGCATTTTGGCTGCATAGGCCCGAGGCCCTTACAAAATTTTGGTAGAAAGTGGGCCAAAGAGAGACTGGACCCGGGCAACCATGGGTATGCGACCCAAGGTCGCGTCCAGCACTTGCTCTCATTTAAACCCAAATTTTGAGTCCCCTCTTTCATTTATTTTACACCTACTCACTTCTCACTCATTTATTTTTGGTCCAAGATCATTTGCCTTGCCAAAACCAAAATCATATATGAACATTTAAGAGTTTGGAGCTAAGATTCAAGTGTTGGGTAATTAGAGATTCAAGGATCTTCATCTTCTTCAACATTCTTCTACATTTTTTTAACCTGGATATCCAACCAGCTATGCGAGCCGACTAATCCAAGGGCGACCACCTGCTTTGTAGATAGCTCGGAGTCACCGTATTTGAACCTTCGTGACTACAAGGGGATTTTTATTCCTCCTTGGATTTGAACCTAGGACCTCTTATTAACCATATTTTAGGGTTTTCTTAAAAACCCATTTTTGTATTCATTCTAACTTTTCTGAACTTTTATATATGTTAAAATGCTTCATTATAGTCTACTAAAACATCCTCTTGATGCATTTTACATATTAGTGGATTTCAACCAATTTTTGGTATTTTGGGAGATTTGAGGGTTTTTACCATTTTATTAGCAAATGACTAAAAGTATGTGTTGTAAATATACGTTTTAAGTACAAAAATGGTATTAGAAGACTTGAACTTCATGATCTATGCCTATATTTGATTTTCACCTACTTGTAGGTATTTCATGGAAAAAGGGTCATATTTTGGAAAGAAAAGATACTAATGCTTTGGAGATGAATGTTTGGGGTTTTGAAACCTATGGAATCCTTGTTCAATTACATTGCATGGTATTATTGTGGGTTTGAGGTCAAGAAACTCTAAAAGCCTTTTTGGTTAAAGACTTAAAATCTCGAGCTTAATGGTTTATTGTTGATATTTGTGGTGGGATCTATGAGTTTGATAGTGAAATGTTCTAAAGCAATTGTATGATAGATTATTATATAATTGATCTATAGGCATAAAAGTCTATTTATGTTTGTAAGATGAGATAGTTATTCCCATATAATAGCTAGATACAAGTATTAAATCACCGCATGACTCAAACTATAAACTCTGGGTGGTTGAACTCAATGACCATGTGACATGGAATGTTTTGATTCTAGCAAATTAGTATATCTTAGTTTATTGGGGGACTCGAACTACATATCATAAGTAATTGAACTCGATGTTCCATATTAGAAGCTCAACGACATAGATTTGTAGCTTACTTTTGTGTTCCGCCACAATCAATGGAAATCGGGTCTTCCTCGTCGTTGCAAGACATGTTAAAAGTCTATTTGATGGTAACAATCTTGACTTCTTTTGTTGTACTTATTTGATAGAAAATTGTCAAACAAGGGTAAAACGTGTTAAAGTTGAAAGTTGAAGATTGTTGCTGCTACTTGAAGGACTGCGCCTCACATTTGAAAATACTCAAGGGGTAGCGGAGTACTATTCTCAAATATTCAAGGACCATTTTCGTCATATCTTGGAAAATATATAAGGTTGTTTCTCATATCATTTTCGTCAGATTTTCACAATATTTCTTCTCTCAACAATTTTTAGCTCTCAATATCTCTCATCTCTCTCTCTAGATCTGTTCACATTCTATTCTTTTTTTTTGTTTGTTCTAACTAGATTTAAGATGTATTTTGTTATTAGATCTTCCGTTTAGATTAGTTTCATGTAGATTTGTGTTTAGATTGTACAGATTCATTTATTTTACTTTTTGTTTGTGAATAAATAAAATTGTTTTTATAGTTTTAAACAATTTTAATATGGTATCAGAGCTTATCGTTCGATCGATCATTCTTTCCTTTGTTGAAAATCCTTCTGTTTGTGATGTTTTGTAAAGAAATCGAATAAATGATTGTTAGGACCTGTAAATTCAGCTTTGGTATTTGAACTCTTACTCTGAATGATCTTTA